GTATTGTATTATTATCATGACAAAAACATTATCATGATTTGAACTATCATTAATATCTCGGAGCATACAAAAAGGAGGATAAGATAAACATTGCACACTTCAACTTAGTGAAGGCTTAACTAGACCAAATATTAGATTTGTCAAATGTTAGAGGTTTAGTAAGTGAATTCTATGTAACTTGGGAGTATTTGATTTGTCCACTCCAGAAAAAATGGCGAAACTACCTTTAGAATCTTTAAGTATGTAAAGTATAAATTAATTAGGAGAAAAATCAACGTGGGTATCAATTTGTCAAATATGAAAGATAAAGGACGTGACTTGCATTTGACGTTTAGTGGAAATTGAGCCAAATGAAACTTCAACCAAACAAGGAAACTCTTGAAGTTGTTAATTATTTATATTTCCAACTTGTGAAAATAGTCAATAAAACAATTCTGTTTTTATATCTTAGTATTTAATTTTTGAAAAGTTTCCTTGAGAGCCTATCACAATAGATGTTCGTAAGAAACCTATTACCCGACAACCCAACATATTCATAAGATGATTCCAAAGGAGGAAAGAAACAATGATTTCCACATCCATCCAAGGCGCAAAATGTTAAATAAAGAACAGAATAGACACCCAATATATGCACAATTAAACAAGGCCTTCCAATGCAAAAATGGGGAAGAAGTCATTGCAGAAAATATATGCTCTCCCCCAATAAATGCAGCAGCACATCTAAGGCCATCAAGAGCACACCTGCATGAAGTAATTTTTAAGTAAAACTAGCATGACCTTAAAGGTTTAAAAAAAAAAAAAACTTGCAACAAATCATAATTTGGTAATGAAATGATATAATCACAACTGGTTATCAGTATCAGTATGCTCAAATATAGGAAGAGGCAAAACATCTTACTAGTGAACTTTACTGAAAAACATACACTCAACGAGAAGGCTCCGCTGTGTTACAGGAAATGCATTAAAAAATTAAGATCCAGAATATTATGCATCAACCTATTTACAAGAAATTCAAACATAATTGCAAGTTAACCATTAAAGTTGGTTCAACTTAATTATAAAGCTAGAAAAGTTACAATAAGAGGAAGTACCTCCAATTAACAATGCTAAGACAGCCAATGGGACCATCTTTTCTAGAAAGAACTAAGATCATGGAACTCCATGCAAATAACATGGTCAATACTTTAAAATTATACTTTCTTCCAAAGTCACAGTTACATATCTAACCGAAAGTTAAACTATGACGAATAATGACTCCTGATCAACTCCAACAATATAGAATATAGATTATTCGAGGAATGAGATTGGCCTTAATCAGCTCCAATGGGAAATTCAATAGGTTACTATTGTAGGCCCAATATATGGTTATGAGCATGAAATTACATAGTTTCCTGCAACAACATACTTCAAGATCTTGTGACATGAGTAGCGAAAAATGCTCTTATAAAGTAGATATGCCACAATCATAAGAGCTAGTATCAGAACAAACTCAATTATTGACATCCAAAACTGACAGACCTCATTGATTCCTAGCATTCTTTAAGGATTATTTTTCAAGAATAATTGCCCAAGTTCAATACTAATTTCCAGGAAAGGAACCAAAAAAAATAAAAATAAAAAATGCAAGTGCCTGCATATCCAACATAAAAATTCAGGCAATAATCATTAACCACAACCTTTTTTTTTTCTTTCTTCTGTTCTAGCATTTCTCACAAAAAAAAAAGTTAGAACAATGCGACAGATCATATATATATAAAACAAAAATGATATGTTTTGAGAATTTCAATTTCAGAAATATAACTACAATAACACTTGAGAT